TAAATATAAGTATGCATTTGGGGTTGAGCAGCATTTTCACAAAAATAGATTTCTGATCAAGTTTATTGAGGTATAATTTACATACACACACCTGTGAAGTACCGGGTGAAAGGTAGCCCCCACTGGAAGTTCCCCTTGGGAATTCATCCTCTGCCCAGCCCAGGCCACCACTGACTCCTTGGCCCCTACCCTGTGGACTGGACTGTATTTTCAGGAGTTTCCTAGAAAGGGCTCATACACTGTCCCCTTTCCCTGTTCCTTTCCTGCAGCATAATTATTTTGAGATTCACCCATGTGTGTGGAAGGGACGTTTAGACAAGCTCAGGAGTGGGGAGGTGGGCGAGGGGCCCAGGCCAGAGGCGGGTGACTCCTTCCTGCCGAGCGTGTCTGCCGTCAGGAGACGCCTGTTTGTGTACCTGTTCGCTGTCGATGCACATTTGGGTTGTTCCCAGATTTTGACTGTTAACGCATCAAGCCAGCGTGTGTGTTTCTGTGGAAGTCCTGGCCGGGTCTGTGTTTCCACATCCCTGGGTAGGTTCCACGTGTTGGAGTTGTCGGGTTCCAGGGTTTCTGCTCAACTTTGAAGACACCGCCAAGTTGTCTTCCAGAGCGGCTGCCCAGTCTAACGTTTCCAGCAGCTGTGCAAGGGTCCCAGGAGCTCCATGTCCTCGCTGACATGGGCGTAGTTCCCCTCCCGACTTCTAGTGGGAGTGTGGAGGCATCTCGTGGTTTTTACCTGTGTTTCCCTGAGGCCTGGTGAAGTTGAGCATCTTCTTGTGTTTGGCCATTCGTGTATCTTCTTTGTGAGGTGTCTGCTCAAAATGTGGCCCATTAAAAAAAGAATCTCACCAAAGTAGTTGCAAAGAGCAGCTTTTAGAGCCGTTGAGTGAAACTTGGCTCAGATGTCTGCGGATTACCTCCCTCCTCCTCAGGAGACTGTGGGAGCTGCTTGGCCTCTGGTGACCAGGACCAGACAGTGTGGTTCTAGCTCTAAAGGTATCTTGCTCCCAGTTTATTTTTATTTTTTCTTAATCCGCACCTGAGGATATTTTTTCCATTGATCTTTAGAGAGAGTGGAAGGGAGGGAGGGAGAGGGGCAGAGAGAGAGAGAAACACCAATGTGAGAGAGACAGATCAATTGGTTTCTCCTGCACGCGCCCCAGTTGGGGCTGGGGATCGAACCTGGAGCCCAGATATGCGCCCTTGACCAGGAATCAAACCTGTGACCCTTGGGTGCTTGAGTTGACACTCTAACCACTGGGAACACTGGCCAGGGCACTGTTTTACTTTTTTTAACTTTTATTTATTTATTTTTAAGTAGATCTTTATTGATTTCAGAAAGAGGAAGGGAGAGGGAGAGAGATAGAAACATCAGTGATAAGAGAGTCATTGATCGACTGCCTGCTGCACGCCCCCGACTGGGGATCGAGCCCACAACCCGGGCATGTGCCCTGACCAGGAATCGAACCCCGATCACCTGGATCCTAGGTCGATGCTCAACCGCTGAGCCACGCTGGCCGGGCTGTTTTACTTTTTTTAAAATCCCCATCCAAGGATATTTTTTCCGTTGCTTTTCAGAAGAGAGAGAGAAACATCTATGTGAGGTACCTGGCCTTGGCTGGAATCGAACCCAGGACCCTCCAGTCTGCAGGCCAATACTTTAACCACTGAGCCAAACCAACTAGGGCTATTTTACATTTTTATTAGAACAAACTGCCCTCCTGGCAGAGCTCCTTAGGGAGGAAAGGAAAGTTGACCCTGCCCTGCTCCTGGAATTAAGACTGAACTAGTGAAATACATTCGTAGCAATCTTCATACTTCATGGTTCTGTGCATTTTGCGGTATGGTAATTTATTTGGCCCTCACCCATGAAGCATTCGGAGTTGGAAATGGCACTGGATACAGCAGGCACATTGCCCGCCAGACAGGACAGCCCCGCACTGGAGCACCCTCACCGCTCAGCCCGTTTCGTCACGTGCGTCGTCACCAAATTCCTGGCTGGATGTGGGCCACGTGCTAGCACCCAGCCCCATTCAGGCAGATGCGACTTTGGGGGTTTGGTCTGGATCATGGATTTGAGTTGTTTTGATATGAAAGTGGTTGTTTCATAGTGATTCTGGCTGGAACAGAAGTAACCTTGAAACCCCCAAGTTGAAAATAAAACCCACAGGAGAAATAAAGACAGAGCAGCAGAGCGGTGCGGGCACGAGATGGTGCTGGCGTCACTTTTGTGCCGTCTCAGGTACCAGTGCAGCCACAGTTATCCCCTTTGCCCCTTGGTCTCACCCAGCCCTTAGCGCATAACCGTACAGTGATGTGGGGCCTGAGTCCCTTATGGACCTCAGGCTTCTCTCTGAAAGGGCCCCTTACTCAAGGGGTGCCACACATGACTCTTTGAATGCATGAAAGTGCCCTCTGCCCCATGCAGCAGCAGCCCAGGTGATCGGAGATGATAGGTTATCTATCCGTCAGTGTGATCTGATCCCACAGGTATATTCCCGTGAACGGATGTGTGTCCGTGGCCAGGTGTGTGTCCGTGGCCAGGTGTGTGTCCGTGGCCAGGTGTTCCTCCCTTGGACAGTGCTCTCCAGCAGGCAGGGCGGGTGCTCTGCTGTCCTTCCCTCACACCATGAGCTTGCTTTAGTCTCGTGTGCACCTCACTTGGTGGTGGTTATATGACATGACTGGCTTTGCTGCTCAGGGTTCTCCCATTTTTCAGGTCACAGCTGCCGAACAGCAACCGGGCAGCTGGCCATCGATCAGCCACTCTTTTACTTCGGCCAGGTAGGCAGGCCCCACGAACATGTTCCTAATGCTGAGAGATTTTCAACTGAAATGAAATGCAGCTGCTCTCCTGAGCTTCCCCAAGACGGAGCGTTTCCACAGCAGGCTGGTCTATTTACACCGTCATCTTAGATCCCTTTTATTTTAGTGTCCACACAACTTTCCCCTAGTGAAAATTCTGTTGTCTTCTTATGACAAAATCTCTATAAAGTACATCACTGAGCTTTAAGCTGCCCTGACTAACACCCTATTTCAGAACTTGCCATGAGAGTTAAAATGATTTTTGAGGTGCGAGTCCTGCGAGGTCATTGCTCTCTGTGAAACGGCTCCGAGCTTTCTCTTCCTTCTCAGTGATCTTCCTGGCTCTCAAAGGACCTGTTTTACTGGGGAGTAGAGACTTATTCATATAGGAAAGCAGATCATGAAACTCGCGCTTCCTGCTTTAACACAGGGCCTGAAGCCTCAGTTCTCTTGTCACGGGGCCAGGAACTGGATGCAGTTAGTGAAGGTGAGGTCACGGAGGCAGATGGCCCTAGTCCAACATGACTGATGTTCTTATAAGATGGGGACATTGGACAGACACGCACAGGGAGAGCACTGTGGGAGGACGAGGCAGGGATGGGGGATGCGTCTACAAGCCAAGGAGTGCCAGGGGCTGTCAGCTGCCTGCAGAAGCTGGAGAGGTTGGGACGCGTCCTCCTGCGGAGCCGTCAGCGGGATGACCCTGCCGACGCCTGGGTCTGGGATCAAGCCTCCAGACGAAGCTGGAACGAAGTTCTGTTGTTTCAGCCGCCTGGCCTGTGGCCCCTCGTGCCTGAGAAACCGCTGTAGGCAGGGAGGAGAGGACGCTGCAGTGGGTTGGGAGACGCAGGCTGGGGGCACCGGGCCCCGGACGGTCC